CTATAAGCACAGTGTTTCCCTTTTCTTTAAGTAAACTGCCTGTGTGTCTGTGTGTGTCAGACCAGTGATTTACTCCTATTTGTTTCTCCAAGGTCATATTTTTTCTCTCTCTCTGTCTTAAGTATAAATATGCCTGTAAATTTATAGAGTTTGAGAATTCCTTTGAAACAGACAAATGGGTGATTCCCCTTGCTGTATGGAATTCTCCCTGTGATCACAGTATAGCCCTAAATAAAGAAAGGCTGGCTCTGTCAGTTCTGATTCAACCACAATGCAAAGTTTGATTTGTTCCATAATTTGGTGCCATAACTCAGATAGGAATGCCAGGAGTGACCAGTTGAGATACGGACCATCTTCTCACTGATGCCCTGGCGCCAAACCAAGGTAAGAGACCATTTCAAATCTCTATTGGGGCTTTTTTGGTGAGAGACTGTCTGTGTGTTTTCCTGTTCAGTACTTGAGGCTTACACTATCCAAACTTTTTTTTCTGCCCGAACTGTCAGACCCACTGTGTAAGTAGAAACTGTGAGTAGAAACAGTTTTAAAAGACTCTGTGTTTCTGCTGTCAGTGAATGAGTTTTCCCTGTGTGAATTGAGTTAAGTTCTGTAAAGAACTATGAGGTCTCTATGAAGCTAGGAGTGAAAACCTTGTGCAGCCGCCCCGAAGACAACAGATTTGTTCTGTGTGCTCTTTGAAAGCAAGGGTGCAAGGTGGAAACTCTTAGAGTGTGAGTGTTTTCCATGATAAGTATTGACCAAGGCTGGGACTAAAGAGATGCTCTTGAACCCCGTGCCTCAATGCAGAAATTCCCTTGTCTGAATTGAAAAATATGAGCCACTGACCAAGTCTGGGACTAAGGTTGGGTTCAGCTGCCCCAAGGCTGTCCAGAAGGACAGTTTTGAAAGCAAGGGAACCCAACTTGAACCCTGTGACCCACTAGACAGGTCTACCCTTTCCCCCACCCTCATAAATGAGCTGTGTCTAACCATGAGCAACTGCATTGTGTGCCATTATTGCCGTGGAATTTTGTCTTTGGACATTAGACACAGCATCTCTGTGCTGCTAGCAAATCTCACAACCTGACCAGACACCCTGAATAAGCCATTCCTGTATGAAAGACCTGAGTGAATTGAATTTAAAGATATGGGGAGCGGAGAGTCTAAATACGTACCGGTTCTGCCAAAAGGGACTCCAGCATTGTACGTGTACACACACTATGGTCATAAAAGTTGTAAGTTTCTAGAAAAATGGAATTGGTATGCCAGAGATGATTTTAGCCTGCAGTTTCCCCTGGAGGGAACATTTGATTTAAGTAAAATCGTTTATCTCCACAGAGCCCTTGAGTCAACAGGTAGTAATATACCACAGACTCAGTGGGACACATTTTTTGATTGGTATGAACAAGCTTCCAAAAGACATCAAGAATCTCAAGTTCAGAGTCTTAAGGACTCCCAAGAGAAACTGAAATCTCAGCTAAAGGAATTAAAACAGAAAAGTGCACCAAAAGGGGACCCCCCCATCAACAGTACCATCAGCACCAACACGACTTTATCCACAAATAACTGAGAATGAATCTGCAGAAGATATAATTGATTTTCTTAATGTGCCACTCCCGTATCATTCCCACCCAAAATCTGAACCTGAAGAAGTCCAAAGTAACCAAATAGACTCTTCCAGCAGGATTAGCCCACCTCAACAGGAAACTCTCACTCAACAACCGTCACCTGCCCCCAGGGCATGCCCACGTCCACCGGAGGTGTCTGTCTCCTGAAATCTCAACCCCCTCCTCTTGTTTAAGGTCTAGTACCCAATATGGTCCACCCCCTTCTTTAAAACCTAAAAAGTCTCAGCTTATGTCTTTACACCAGCTTTCAGGGCAAGGTCCAAATGGGGAAACTGCAATCACTGTCCATGCCCCCTGGAACCCAGCAGATCTCCTAAACCTTGTTAAACAATTTCCCAACATCAGGGAGGAACCCCAAAAATTTAGAGATGAATTGGAAACTGTAATCCATTGTTATGATCCAACCTGGATAGATATGAACTAATTAATGAGAAGTGTTCTGCCCTCTGAGGTCTGCAACCGCCTCATCTCACAGGCTACTTGGCCTCTTCAAGACCCCAGAATTGGAAATCATGTAGCACATGCCTGAAAATGCCTCCTTGAGGCTGTGCTTAAAATTTGCCCCAGGAAAACTGACTAGGCCAAAATACATAACTGTAAACAAAATAAAGGAGTATCCCCAGCAGACAACGTGGACCGCTTGAAACTAGTATTTGAAAGACATTCTGGTATTGAAAATGCAGCTGAAACTGCCCCAGAAGGACTTGCTTCCACTTTTGTACATGGACTCCTTTCTAAAGTCCAGGAAGAGTTGTGCACAATTGCTGTAGGTTAGCAAACTAAGTCACTTGCAGAACTAGTCACCATTGCAAATCATTGTACAACCTGCCAGGAAAAGAAAAAGGAATCCAAGGAAACTAAGCAAATACAGACTTTAGGCAGGGGCGGAAGCCAAGGTTTCCATCAAGGACAGTTCAGAGGCAGGGGACGTGGTCGTGGGATGGGATGAGGAGGATTTCAGTCCCAAAATAATGACAGTTGTCATTATTGTGGCCAACCAGGACACTGGAAGGCTCAATGTCCTCACCAGCCTGGCCAGCCGGGGATGACGTTTGACGTGCCACTGCATCCTCTCACTCAATTCTATGTCCCAAATCAGAGAGCCTCCTGTTAGGCCAGCCTGAGGAATAGTAACATCATCACAGCCCCGCTTCTTGATCCCTTCATTTTCTGCTTAATAAATGGCACTCCTACAAAATGTTTAGTTGACACAGGTGGAAGCCAGTCTACTGTTTGAGCTGAAGAATTTTCCACAGCTCCCCTCTCCTCTGCTGTTGTAAATGCTATAAGAATTTCAAATCAAATAGTTCCTCATCCTGTTTCCCAACCATTACATGTTTCTCTTGGTCCTGTTTCTGATCAACATGCCTTTCTCCTTAGTCCTTGCTCTCCTGTTAATTTGTTAGGTAGAGATTTGCTTTGTAAACTCGTCTGTACTATCTATTGCTCTTCTAATGGTGTTTATTTGGATGTTCCCTGTGTTAATGAAATGGCTGTACTTGCTGCCTTAGCTAGTTCACTTCCTGAGCCTGAGTTCCCTGATCTTTCTGCGTTGCAAGAAGAAATCATAAAAGCTATCCCTCCATTTCTCTGGTCCCAGCATGCTAATGAAGTAGGACAAATCCATACTGTCCAGCCTGTAAAAATTAGATTAAACCCAGCTAAGCCAAAGTTGCTCACTACCCTTTACGTCCAGAAGCCGAAAAAGGGATACGCCCTGTTATAACTGCCCTTTTAAAGCAAGGTATCATTGTCCCGACTAAGAGCCCTTGTAATACACCTATTCTTCCTGTAAAAAAACCTGGAAAGAATACCTATCGGTTTGTACAAGATCTCCATGCAGTAAATTCTGTGGTTTTACCTACTTTTCCTGTTGTACCAAATCCAGCTACTATCTTCTCCTGTATTCCTCCTAATGCTTGTTATTTTACTGCTGTTGACTTGTGTTCTGCATTTTTCTCTATTCCTATACACCCTGATAGCTAGTTTCTCTTTACATTTACCTATCAAGGACTTCAGTATACCTGGACGTGATTGCCCTGGGGCTATACTGAATCCCCTTCTCTTTTTTCTCAAATTCTGAAGAAAGATCTATTTGACATAATATTTAAAGAAAATTCTGTGCTTGTGCAATATGTTGATGTTTTTCTCTTGGCATCTACCTCCCTTGAAGCCTGTTAAACTGATTCTTTAACTCTCCTCACCTCTTTTGCCCTAAAAGGCCATAAGGCATCTAAAGAAAAGCTAGAACTTTGTCTTCCTCATGTCCACTATTTAGGTCATGATATTTCCGCTGGAGAATGACTACTTTCCTAGTTATGGCTAGCTTTCCTAGGTGTGCCTTCCTAGGCATGGCTGGCTACTGCCACCAGTGGATACTCGGCTATGCCTGTATAGTCAAGCTGTTGCAAAATCTGATTCTTGTTAATACCCCTGTGGCTTTACCCTGGACTTCAGAGGCCGAAGCCACTTTTTTCTCTATTAAACAAGCTCCTTGGCAAGCTCCTGCCTTAGGCCTTCCCGATTATACTAAACCTTTTATTCTCTTTTTTATGAAAAGGATGGATTTACACTTGGAGTACTCACTCAGACACATGGAGACAAGCACCGTGCCATTGCTTATTATAGCTCTGCTCTTGACCCAGTTGCAGCCGGACTTCCTCCATGTCTTTATGCTGTGCTGCAGCTGCTGTCACTGTTGAACTTTCCTCTACCTTTTTATTAGGTTGTCCCCTTACTGTTGCTGTCCCACATGCTGTAGCAGCCCTTTTACTGACAACAAAAACCCAACCCCTTTCAAAAGCTAGATTAACTAAGTATGAAATCTTGCTTCTCTCTGCTGGAAATGTCAACCTAACTAGGTGCACTGTTTTAAACCCTGCTTCTCTGTTACCTACCCCTTCGGATGGTGAACTCCATGATTGCATTACTGTCACTGCTCACCTAACAATGTCCCGCACTGCTTTAAAGGACAACCCCTTGCAAAACACAGATCTAGTATTCTATGTTGATGAATCATGATCATAGAGGAACTCATTTTACTGGACAGATAATGAAAGAAGTCTGCAAAGACCTGCAAATCCAACAAAACTGTCATTGCCCATACCATCCGCAGGCCTCCGGCTGAGTGGCACACCAAAATGATATTCTGAAAAAATAAACTGACCAAAATTTGTGCTGAGACTCACCTGAAATGGCCAGATGCACTTCCCATAGCCCTTATGAGTATGAAATCTACTGCCAACTGAAAGACTGGGCTTAGCCCACATGAAATTCTAATGGGAAGACCCACGAGGCTCCCTGCCTCGCCACCTGTTGCCTCCCACTTTTGCGATATACATTCACTTGATGACCATTCTGTACTTTTGTAAGGCACTAATGAAGTGTGTTAAGGTATTTTATTCACAGGTACAGGCAGATCTCCCCAGAGAACCAGATGAGCCATGCCATTCCATCCTGCCGGGTGACTGGATCCATATAAAAGTCCATCAATGGAAGTCATCGCACTACACGTCTGCACCGACAAATAAGATCATTTCATGAAAATATGTTCTTATCTTTAGTTAATCAAATTGGGATAGATTTTAATGTCTCTCATTGTTGGACATGTAGTCATGTCCCCATCTATTCTACCGGACGGATACCCATGATACCAGTACCCTTGAATGCAACTCAGATTTTAGCCCCTTGCTATTCAAAATTTCATGGGAACGAAACCTGGCAGTTTGTAAGTTGCAACTGGTCTGACTATGTATGATTAGCGTATGCCACACCTGGAAAGTTTTGTTGGACCTGTAATGAATCTTGTGTTGCAGTAGAAGTCAGTAAATGTGAATCAGAATTTAACAACCAAGGTGCATGGATCAATGGTTCCTGGGACACCGGTATTCTTTCTGTTATGTTATTAATCAAAGGATTTTCAGGTTATTATTAAAAAAATGATGAACTGTAATACCAGTGGGTTTACTGCACTAGCTGATCACTATTTTGTATGTGGAGATAAGGCTTATAAAAATCTTCCTTCTGGTTGGAGAGGAACATCCTATGTCTCCACAGCATAGCCTGCCTTTACTGTTAGATCTCACTTACCTAAAGGAAAAATTCGCAATGCTCACAAAATTATGGAAAAATCAAAGGTTTTGGGGTATAATTTTCCCCAGCTATGGTGCAGGTTTAGCTATGTCCGAGATAAAGAAGGTTGCAGCATCTCTGAAAAAGATTGCTAATGCTACTGCTGATGGTTTTGATAAAATAAATACAGAAATGAAGGAAATAAGGCAAATGACATTGCAAAACTGACTTGCATTAGATTATATACTAGCCAGCAAAGGAGGAGTCTGTGCTTTAATAGGTAAAGAATGTTGTACTTGTTTTCCTGATAATTCAGAAGAAATCCAAGATTTAAGTAAACTTATTTGAAAAGAAGCAGCTAAATTGCATGAGTCAGATACTTGGAATTTGAGTTCTTGGTTTAGCTCTATTTTCAGTTCCTTAGGCTCTACCATCATTCATAGTTTGTTGATATCGTTTGTTGCTTTTATTGGAGTTTTCCTAGTGTTTATGATAATACAATGTTGCTTAAGTTGTGCTGCCAGGCAAATGCAGATTAGCAGAAAGTAAAGATAAAGAAAAAACAGAAGTTGAAAGGCTAATGGCTATAAATATCTAATTTGTTGGGCCAAAGAGGCCCAAAAGTGGGGAATTTGGAAATAAATGTAATGAGGCCCCTAACTTTACTAAGAAAAGAGACAGAGACCAGAGGTGCTGATACTGCTTATTTCAGTTTAATGTTCTGAGATATGGAATCCTGCATGACTTGTTTTCATCTTGATATATTACCCTGTGTGTGGATGTTAGTTTTTTTCTCTCTGAGAATCAGAAACTGATAATCATTTCTATAAACACAATGTTTCCCTTTTCTTTAAGTAAACTGCCTGTATGTCTGTGTGTGTCAGATCAGTGATTTACTCTCCAAGGTCATATTTTTTTTCTCTCTCTGTCTTAAGTATAAATATGCCTATAAACTTAAAGAGCTCCAGAATTCCTTTGAAACAGACAAGTGGGTGATTCCCCTTGCTGTATGGAATTCTCCCTGTGATTACAGTATAGCCCTAAGGAAAGAATCTGGCTCTGTCAGTTCTGATTCAACCACAACACAAAGTTTGATTTCTTCCACAGTAGCTGAGTGACAGGACCTCCATCTAACCCAGGAGGTGCAAAGTCCCACCAGGGGAAATGCCTTGTTGGATCTAGTCCTGGCCACAGGTGACCACCTGGTGAGGTTCTCGACCACCTGGGCAATAGCAATCATCGCCTACTGAAATTCACCATCCAGCACAGGGTGTCAAAATCCTACAGCAAGGTAGCAGTCCTGGATTTCAGGAGGGTTTATTTCAATGAGGTAAGGATACTAGTCAGAGAGACGCTGAGGTCCCGGAGGAAAGGGGATTTGGGAGTCCAAGAAGAGTGGTTTTTCCTTAAGGAGAAGATCCGCCAAGCACAAAGGATGACAATCCCCATGTGGATCAAAGAGGGCAAGAGTGCTAAAAATCCCCCATGGATCACCAAAGGCATCCAGGAACATCTCTAAGCTAAAAAGGAGGCAGTTCACCTATGGAAGCACCTGGTGGTCAGTGTCTCTTATAAAGCAGGTACAGCTACTGAACAATTTAGCCCTATCAGGCTTTGAAGTCTCTCCGTCCTCTCTCAAAACACTTTCCATCAGTGAAGT